AGTTTTCTTCTAATATTCTTATTGTTTTGTTTTTTATGTTTAGCTCTTTAATCCATCTGGAAATGATTTTTGTATATGGTGTGAGGTAGGTATCTAAGTGTCTTTTTTAAATGAATAGTTCATTGTCCCAACACTTTAATTACTAACCCATCATTTCATATATTAAACACTAGTATTTATCCATGGTTCTGCTTCCAGGCTTTCTATTTGGTTACACTAATATATTGTCTATCCTTATGCTAAACTCAGAGTGTTCATTACATAGTGCAATCAAATATTTTACTTATCTGATGAAACAAATCCCCATCATTGTTCTAGTTCAACAAATCTTTAATTAAGCAATCAGTACTCTGGATAAAGTTGGGATTCATTTTTTCAGTTCCCATATCGCATTCCATTGGGACGTTTTAAATTTATATTGCGCTGAAGTTTGAAATTATATTTGAAGAATGAATGAGAGGCTTATCCCACCAAACCTTCTTATTGAAGATGATGATATAACTGTGTCTAAGTGGGTCGTCTCTTGTGTTCTTCTGCCTAAACAGACCTATACATCTAAAGCTGAGTTATGTCTCAGAGTTTAAGCCCTTTCTTGATACTCTACAGTTTTATTTTCCAATTCCATTTTGAGTTACTATGGTATTGTTAGGTGCAGTTTGTCTATTGTGTTTCTATATGGATATCTCACGGAGCTACAATAGTTTCAATTTCTTTTTAGTTAGTTGTTTTTAATAATATGCTATTTTCAGACAGCAATTTTGATTCTTCTGTTCCAACATTTTATTATATATTTATTTTAAACATAAATATTTTATTAATTCTTTGAGAACTCTTCATACCATCTGTTATGATCATATTTATGCCCGACTCCTCTCTGTAACTCCTTCCAGATATATCCCAGCTCCAAAATCCACAAACTTTGTGACCTCCTTTTCAAAATGTAGTAACTCATAGACTTGACTTTGTTCTGGCTGTGTGGCCATCCACTGAAGTGTGGTTGACCTATCTTAGGAGAAGACTGTCCCTCCCCTAGAAACCGTAAAATCTCCCTAACACCTCAGTCAGGGGTTGGGTCTCATGGCCTCCTCTCCCCTCCATGCTAGGATGCTAATGCTTGTGCAGCAACTGCAGCAGCTGTGAGTTCAGGACCGCATCGTTCCTGTGATGTCCAGAAGACACTGTTTTTGCTCTGGTCCTCTCTGACCTCTGGCTCATACCATCTCTCCTTCCCTTCTTCTTTGTTTTCCCTGAGCCTTGAGGAAGGGGTGTGATACAGATGTCCCATTTGTGGCTGGACTCTCACAAGCACTTATTCTCTGCAGGTTGACCAGTTGTTAGTTTCTGTGTTAAGCACCATTGGCTGCATAAGGAGACTTTCCTGATGAGGTCTGAGAGTTGCACTAATCTAGGCATAGAAAGTTATGTATTTAGAAGTCAGTTTGGATACTGTGTCCATTTAACAAAATAATTACTTTGTTACATTGCCTTGGATTTCCTGGACAGCTTTGCAAAATCAAGGAAAGAATGTCCTTTCTGTTCTAAGGTTTTTCAGGCACTGTGATAGTTAACCTGTTACTTAAAAGAAGCTTTCTTCTTTACTCATAGATTAAGGATTTCAACCAGGAAACAATAACTTTAGTATCTTTTGAAAGAATGCTTTTTCTTTATTTACTTTTTAGTTAGGCAAATGGAATAGTAGATTTCCTAAGTTGTTTTTCTTGTCGTATATTTTGAATATAATACAATAAGTTATTCATATTTGGCATTTATATTTAGGGCAGAGATATCTCTATCAGTACATATAGATACAATCTTTTTATCTGTATTTATATATTTGAGGTTCTATGTTGTTCGACCATTTCTGCCTTTAGACAAATTTAAACCACAGAGAATGGTTTGAGAAAGTATCTATGCTTTTTACACTGGAAAAATACAGGTCAGGAAACCTAGTAGAATTCACAAACAAGACCATCTTTTTGTTTTCTTTACACGTGTATTTTATTTGCTGTAAATTTAATATTTTGTTCTCAAATTTTCTACATTTTCAGATTTTCACTAATATTTTTAGGTAAATCAGTCACTGAACTTGTATTTTAGGAATTACTGTTTTTAATTTTAGCATTTTACAGTTTTCTCTTCTACATTGTTTATTAACATGGCCAGTGATTTTTATGACTTTGGAAGGCAAGCAATTCATTATGTAGATCAAGTGAGAGTTTTGTCTTTTTCATCTCTGTTTGTTTGGGCGCTGTTTTGATTTATACCAAATCAGTTTCATTTTCAAATTTTGTTTTTATTGTTTATTTATTTTTATTCTCTTTCTATATTTTTATAGGGCCCACTTCCCTTTAAAACTGAATCTTTTCTTAGTATAGTTATATAAAGCTACTCAAATTCTACTTAATTTTTCTAAGGATTACCCCAATTTTTTCATATGGTTCAATGGTAAGATTCTAGTTTATGCTCTAAAAATAGTTTTAAATATTGTTTTCACCAAATAGCATTTTAGATGCTCCCAGTGAACCTTTTAATAGATTAATCCTTTGTTGTTATTTCCGGTTTGCTTTATTTTGTAAGGGAGATGTTTCTTGTTCTTATAATGGACTTAGTTTTCCTTTGAAATTTCAGATGTGTTTGAGGTTTAATATGTGGTTGGAGTTTAGAATTAAAAATAATTTTAGTGTGTATTAGTTTTCCATTGTGGTGGCTTCATTGGTTTTTAAGTCTTATAATATTTTGTTCTTTACAATTGTAAAGATCTCTGTGTATTTCACGTAATACTATTGTAGTACCTGTGAACACAAGTTCAAGATTAACATAATGTTGGATTTTTTTCAACTTTATATATAATAGTCAATTGAAATAAACATGACATAAGCCTTTTTAATTGTAAATTGCTGACATTCAGGGTTTCTCAACTTCATATGAAAGAGAATACGAAATGTCTAAAAAGAAATTAATAAAGGAAATTTAATTGGCCATACACATCTGCATATTCATCTATATGAAATGCATGCTTGTGTATGCGCATATGCACATATATGGCTGATTATATTTCACTTTTATCACATGTACTCTCATTGTTTTATTTTCAGTATTTTGTAATTTTGTTTTATGTACAGCTTTTCTAAATAAGGTAAACCTTTATTTTTAATCGAAAATTTTCTTCCCGAGTTAGAGGCAGTAATAACCCGCTTATACTATCTACAGAGTTTTATACTTCTCTTCCATTTTGTAATCTTTGTTCATTATTGCGGTTCTCCCTGTTTGTGGTGTCTTTTGTAAGATGGAAGATTTCCCTGCCTGATACAGGCTGGGAAGCTGTATGTAGTATTTTTTTTTTTTTATTCTTCTGGAAGCTGCTTTAAGTTTTTCACAAGCTCAGTTAAGTGTGAATTGTTGTGATCAATAATTGATTGGTATCTATAAGTGTTCTTTCTTCTCTCTTAATGATAAAGTCTTTATTGGGCTTTTAATTATTTCTGTATCGACTCTTCTCTGCACTTACAGTTAAAATCATGTGGAAATTTCATGCCCCATAATGAGCTGAGCAGCAGCAGCGGTGGTACTGTTAAGATTATTGGTGATATTACTTACTCCATGCTTCTATTTTATAGGAAGCCCTTATTAGTTACTGTATTACCTTTAGTCACCAATTTAGCAAGCGTTATTCAGATTTACATTGCATTGTTGTGGTCTGTTTGCTCTGTGGTTGTGGAATTCAAGCCATTGCGTTTCGCGCACACCTTTTCTTCTGTTCTTCTCAAACCATCCTTTAGCAATTCCTGGTGATTTTGTTTGTGCTTCGTTTTCTTTGAAGGCCTGTGTGTAGGGAAGGGTCCTGGTCTTTGTTTCTCAGGCGGGAGTATCTTGCCTTGTCTTTACAGTCAATGTGAGAGTAGACTGATTGCAGAAATCCCAGGAGACAGGTGGCTTTTTCGGTTTCTCCTGAGACATTTCCAGTGGAATAGACGCACACTATCTGTCCTTTTAGATAGAAGGTTTTCACCTCCTTAGTCATCCACTTCCCAGTGCTCATTGTTAATGCCCATCCAACCGGTCCATCAGGGAAAGATGTTCGTGTTCGCAGTTTACTGGGCCACACAACACAGAATTCCTTCCTTTTCAAACCAACAGCAAGCACTTTCATAACAAATTTCACCTGTTAATCCAACTTCTGACATTCTGTTTGGTAACAATGCAGTTCATGCCTGAGTCTTGAAACATGTTGTGAACTTTCTTTCATGTGGGCTAGTATCTCTAACCCACTGGGTAGTGGATATTTATGTAGAGTTTCCCCCCTCAGTCATAACCTAAATGTCTGACCCTCTCAGTCACTTTCTCTTACCCTTGACTCTCATGGGTAAACACACTAGTAGTGTCTCTTGAGGCTGATTTTAAAGACCATATCCTCTGTGTTGTAGCTTACCAAGCATTTGAAGACTCTTCTTTGTCTTCACCCAATCTCTTAGGGGCATCTTGAAGTCTCTATCCTGTTCACATGAAGCACAGATCCTATGTTGTGATGAAAAATTTAAGTGAGAGCAGAAATTAAGAATCTACAGATTAGCTGTCTGTAGTGAATATTTGTCCTTTGATTACCTTTGTCAAGGGGGCTAACTCAATGCCTGTGGCCACTCTGATGCCTGGAGCACGCACCATGATTCTCCTGGCTTCCTCCCAGAGTTGTCTTTAAGGGAGATTTTAAGATTTTATTCTAGCACCGGGCTCTTAGGTCTCTCTCCCTTCAGATCACCGTTTAGTTCCCATGCTCAGTGTTAAGAAGTCTGCCTTCTTCCCTTAGGTCTGACCTATCGCTGCTTTCAGTATGCTGTTCAGTGATGTGAGCATCTCTATTCACCTATGAGTTCAGATTACCTAAAGCATGACCACGTTAGGATACAATGCATGGAGGGTGCATTTATATAAGAAAGGTAGAGACTTCCGGTTGACTTGGTCTATTTGATAACTCTATGTGCCTCTGTCTTTACCCTTTTTAGGTGGGAGGACACACCATGCTCCCCATCCGCTGGATGCCTCCTGAAAGCATCATGTACCGGAAGTTCACCACGGAGAGTGATGTGTGGAGCTTTGGGGTTATCCTGTGGGAGATCTTTACCTATGGGAAGCAACCATGGTTCCAGCTCTCCAACACAGAGGTAACAAAGGGACAGGTCAGGATCCGGTCTGGGAGAAGGCTGATGATAGCTATCATAGGACAGGAATTGCATACAGTGTACAGACAGTGGGCTGTTGCGGGAGCAGAGTGGATGCAGGCAAAATCGGGGGGGAAATCTTAGTGGAGGAAAGTTTGTAACTACAGAAAATGAATATGACTGCCATCAGAGCTTTAAGTCGGAAGTCTACACTGAGGCGTGAGTCGGGCTTCTGTCTATTCTACTACACATAAACAACAACTGCCACAAAATGACAACATTTCACCAAGGGAGAAAATCAAAACAAAGAGCAGCTGTGAGTTTCCTATGGTGCCATCTTGTGGAAACACCTACTGTGTGGTGTGTCTACAGAAGGAGGTCCCCAAAGTTCTGAGTGACCCCAGGCACTGGGAGGCACGGGTCCCCATTTGTCTGAAAAGGTGAAGTTCACATGATTAACAGAGTTGTATGCAGGTGTCCAACTACAGAACAATAATATATTATCATATTTTTGTAATTTCAATTTATAATGAGTTAAGCTAGTAGATGATGCATTTTGACAGTAAATAACGATTGTCAGCAGGTACTTCTCTATGCATCTGTGGTGCAATGACTTGAGAATCTTCACAAAAACACCTCACCTCTTGAGCTTTGGGTCAAAGAAAGGGGGTTATTTGGCATCTTGGAAGAAGCTGTCTGTCATAGGGTACTAGACAAGGAGATGGCTTGGCTTGTGCTTTTAGGAGTTTTCTGTTTTTAAATTATGTATCTTATCTATGTGCAGAACAGAGCCATGTGGACCCAGGAGTTCAGCACAGTCCACAAAGAGTATGGGTGGGACTCCTGTAGTAGCAGATTTACAGAAAATGTCAGCATTTGGTATTCTTTTTGTTTTTTGAAATCGTCACCACTAAGGCCTTTTTGTATTAAAATATCATTTTAATATTCAAGAAAGTATTTTTTTTCTTAAAAGCTATGTTCATTTCCAATCTTCAGTGTCCTGACCATTTGAGCACATTTCAAAGACCACAATGTAAGGCTGGGGATGTGGCTCACTTGGTAGACCATTTGCCTAACATGCAGGATGCCCTTGATCTTCTGTGCTACATATTCAGGCATGGTGACCCCTGCCTGTAATCCCTGAACACAGGAGATGTATGTGGTAAGATCAGGAGTCCAGGTCATCCTTTGCTTCATGTAATTTGAGGATGGCCTAGATCTCATGAGACCTTGCCTGAAAAGAAAATAAGGCATTTCTTTATATCTGTGAGATCTTACTATACAGGTACTCAATGGGACCTGACCTCAATTTCCAAAGTATAACAAACATTTATAGAATAAGGAAAGAGTGTATATAGAAGCTATTTGCTGTGAATTTTATTTAAATTGGTAGTCTTTTCCTGGGGGATGGTACACATATGCATTTGCACCTATAGATACATGAATGTGAACTTACATGCATGCAAATACACACATGCATGCATCTGGGCTCAACCTCCATGGTATTTGGTAACCAAAGAAAGAAGAATCCGTGGATGGGTGTGATGTTGGTGTTAGCAGAACCTTGTCATGGATCCCTAAGATGGGTAGAGTGGCTAATGGGGTGTTTAAACCTCTTTGAAGATGATATAGTGGGGCCCTACCCTTGAAGGCAGGCTTTCTTCCCTCAGCTCCTCCCCTTGCTCTGTCTACAGCAGCAGCTGGGTATAGGCAGTCACTGGTGATGAACTACATAGTGGAAGTTTATAACCTGGCTGGTTCTGCTTTAGAGAAGATGCCAGTGGGTGCCTTCAGTTTAAGCCTAAGCAGCAGCTATTGCAGCTTGACGTAGATCCTTCTTCATGAAGATGGAGAGAATAGAGGTGGAATCTGGGAGAGGTCTGACGCCATGGTAAACACAGCACCTGGAGACTTCCCAGGTTGGCAAAGACACGATCCCAAAGTGCCATCCCAGACTCCATGGTGAGTGTGAATAGTAGGAGCTGGTACAGTGAAGGTCATTCCTGGTCAGTGATGTGAGATACCCAGAAACCCAGGAGAAGGCCCTGTTCTGCAGGATGCAGAGACAGATGGGGGAGGGAGAAGAGGAGGATGAGCAGAAGAGAGGAAGAATGGGAGAGAGGGAGGTTCTTACCCAATGAAATACATGCTAATGGGGAAGAGAAGGCAAGCATTTGCTCAGACACCTGAGTTCAGAAAGTGTTTTGTTCCCTCTTTGAAAAATGCAGAACTTTTAGTGTCAGTAAAGAAATGTCTGACCTCCCAGAAGAGCCAAAGGGGATGTCACGAGTTGATACAATGCAGTGTTCCAGATGGAATCCTGGGATAGCAAAAAAAAAAAAAAAAAAAAAAAAAAAGGTTAAAAACGAAGGCAATGTGGGTAAACAATGGCATCTGGCTAATAATGGATTAGCAAAATGCAGTGTGTAATATGCTAATAGCAGGCAGATGGCAGATCATAATAGAAACCATATATACTTTTCGCGACTTTTCTTTAAACACGACGTTTTTAAAACAGAGTTTATATTCTTGCTATTGTGAATAATGCAGCCGTAAACACAAGCGTGCGAACGTCTGCGGTAGGATGTAAGTTCTTTAGGTATATATACCCGGGAGCAGAGCGGATGGGTCGTGTGATAGCACTGCTTCTAACTACTTGAGACACGCCCATGCTGAGGTTTCAAGCCGGGCTTCCTATGTTTGTAGTCATGTGTACACATAAGAGTGAGCGTGGGATTAGGTTATGAAACCAGAAGGTAGGTGATGGCAAGAGAAGAAGAGGCCCTGGGGGACAACTACGGGAGGGACAATAGGACACATGAGATGTGAGAGCGGAAAGGATGCTATGGAGGTGGAGGAAGTATAAAAAGTGGTATCAAGGGGGGGGGGACGGAAAATGACAGGAAGAGAATAAATGCAACCAAATAAAACCAAAATGCCAGAATGAAGATTAATACTGCGTTTTCTAATTAGAAAAGTAAAGTCTAGTGTTAAAATTAAGGAAAAGATGGGGAAATGGGGCCTTAGAGTGGGAATACACTCTAGAGTACAAGATACTTACGTTAAAATGTCCTTATGTAACACAGTACCGTGTAGAGTGGATACAAACCAATGGGAAAATAAATACTTCTTTTAAAATGTACCTGGACTGAGAGTGTTGATAATTAGTACAAAAATTGCCTGTTCCTCGGGCCCTGCGTTCAATTCCCAGCATTTCAAAGAAAATGCCTTTGAGTAATTGGGATTAAACTGTAAAGAACATACCTGGGTACATCTGAAGCCATCCCTTTGGTACAGCGCGGTTTTTCTCGTTGCATTTGCTCCTGCTGGAAATCCAGACCCCAGTCTTCCAGGACAAGGGTGATGAGGTCCCTGGAGGTTAACTGACTTGAACTGGCTGGCCCACCCAAGGAGTGGTGACTCTGGTAGCTCACAAAGAGCCGTGGGCAGCTGAGGAAAGCTGGGAGCAGGGAAGAGCACTGATTGGTTGCCAAATGGTCAGCCCTGAAAACATGCATTCAAGTGATGGTATTTGGACTGAGAAGGTTATATTTAAGAATAAATATGCATATATGTATACATTTGTATTATATGTACATAATAACAATAAAAGGAGAAAAAATGAGTTTGAATGAGATTGGGGAGAGGTATATGGGAGTTTTGGAGGGAGGAAAGGGAAGGAATAAATGCTACAATTATTGTAGGATCTCAAAAATAATTTTAAAAATGAATATCAATGAAATACTTTACAAAACACCTGCACAGGCTTAGAAGAAAAGCAGTCCTGCCTCCTACCCAGACATCAACCTGTGCATATGGCCATGATGAGTTAAGTTGGTGTCTGTTGCTAAGTAGGAGTCCCAAGACCAAGGGTGAGCTTTGCATGAATTTCTGGATATAACCTCTCTGTTCTTGCTTTCTCAGGTCATTGAGTGCATCACCCAAGGCCGCGTCTTGGAGAGACCCCGAGTCTGCCCAAAAGAGGTATATGACGTCATGCTGGGGTGCTGGCAGAGGGAGCCTCAACAGCGGCTGAATATTAAGGATATCTTCAAAATCCTCCAGGCTTTGGGGAAGGCCACCCCAATCTACCTGGACATCCTCGGCTAGTAGGACTGGTGGCCAAGCATTTATACTCTGTTGCCTCCTCTCTCCCTGCCTCATATCCACTTTCTCCTCATCTCAACTCCTTTCTTCCATCTTTGACTGAAATGAACATCTTCATATAAATTCAAGTGCCTGCTACACATACAACACTGAATTTAAAAAAAACAAAAGAAAGAAACCCTGTAAGGCAGTTTGACATATATATTTATATATATACATAACTATCTATCTATCTATATCTACAAAAAATTACCTTCTCTAATACATAGAGACGCTGCTGATACAGAAAACCATAAGACATTAACAACTGAGAAACATTTTAAATATTATTATTAACACAAATGAAATTCCCTTGACTTAAGCTGTGGCCATGCTTCTTCAGCTCTGACTTTCCAGAGCTCTCCGTCTTGACCGGCAGAGAGGGAGGATGGGAGGAAGGCATGATGACGCACAATCATCCATGCGCATGCGCGACCCATTGGCAGGGCTTGGCAAGGAAACAATTCTGGAAGTCCAGGCCCTTTGGAAACATCTCCGGCCTGCCTTGACCTTCGCCTCCACTCTCCTCCCCTTTTCCTCTTTGGGGGCAGTTTTCTAATTTTTTTCCATTCTACAAATATATAGTCCTGATGCTTTTGGGAATCAGCGATGACACCTACGAGTAACTACTGAACAAAAGCCAACACCAGATCCTAAGAGAGCAAAGCCATCCACGGCCCGGTTAAACGCCGAGCAAGTCAGTGCTGGGGGGACTCCGGGAAGAGCAAACCCCAGCCTTCTGGATGTAAATCACGCTCAAGTTCCTTACTGGGTTTGAAGAGCTTCGATCCTCTGAACCTGAAGAACTGGATTTAAATTGGTGTATTTAAAGACTCGAACCAAGGAAGTAAAAACAGCTGAGAATCCTATCAAGGCACCACTACTCATCTTTCCACCACTGGGAAGACTCTTTGGCCTGTCCTTGCCTTTTCAGGCCCTTGGGGAGTTGGGAGGTTTAGAGTCTGCGTTCTCTGGGGTCATCTCTTCATGTGGACACAGAGGCTTCGGGGCTCTGGGATTTGCTTATTTGCTTGTAGATCATAATTAGGCGTCCCCGTGGGTCTTATTTTCTTATCTCGCTTTCCCCACATCCCGAGGTTCTCTCGAGTCCTGGGTAAACCCCATTGCCAGGGAAGGAATCCAGCCGAGAGCCTGAGGCATGTGTGTTTCGAGGAGCCAGACACTGGCATTGGCAAAAGCCAGCAGAGAATCTACTTGGCACCTGCGTTGGGCCCTTGGCATTCTCCTCACGTTTTAAGCCCTTGGAAGGATTGATGCATCTGCCTTTGAGCTGTTGCGAAAAAAGGCAGGGACTGAGAAATGGCTCTGTGGGCTGGGTGCGTGTTGGGGGGGCGAGGGGAGGGGGCAGGGTGGTGACTGAAGCTTCTCTGGAAGCTGTTCAATGAATGAGTGGCCAGTGCCGCAATTTTGCCATCCTAATGAGGACCAAGTGCTGACCAGGAAGTGAGAATGAAGCATCTGGTCTGGGGCCTGTCCCCTAAGCCCCCAGCTCCAGGGAGAATCGCTGCCTTCCCAACTGTGTTGCTGAGGATGGCAAAAGAGGCAGGCGATCTCTGGACAGCTCTCACACAGAATGAAACGCCCCCAGGAGCCGCACCGAGCCATCTTGCTGGGGAGGAGGGGATGTGCCCCTCCTAGGGTACCCGTCTCTCCACCTCATCCCAAGCACAGAACTACCTAACAGACATTTTCTTACCAGAAGCTCCCAGGAACCGCCGAGATACCGTTCCTTGCCAGCTGAAAAACTCTGCAGCCTAGATATCCCGACCAGTCAAAGGCAGCTGAAGTATGGGCAACTCCATGGCGGGTTTAGGACTGGATTACGTGTTTGTGATTTTACTTTTCTTTTCTTTTTTAAATACCAACAAATGTTTTTTATTCAACTAGAAAAGAGCTGTGCTCAGATTGTAGCCATGGTTGGGATTCAGGGATGAGCAAGCCTGCTCAGCTGGACTGGGGAGAGAGCTGGGTCAACTAGGAATTCAATGTGGAACTTCTTATTCCACTGGGTGCCCAGCCCCTGAAGTTGTCAGGGAGAGGCTCTTTGGATTGATCCCTTCAAAAAAGAACCCTTTGCTGTCCTGTGGCAATGACTTCTCTTATTACGCCTTGATTCAGTCCACCTGAGGCCTTGGTCTCTGCTGGGGATGTGAGCGCTGGGTGGTAGTTTCGATCCCAGTTTTTATCCTGTAGCCAAAGGGGAGACATTCCCAGCAAGGGATGACTGGGGGTGGGAGCTGAGGAGAAAGGGATTCCTAGTTAGAGGGATGCTCCGTGGTGAGCAGGGGTTGCTGGAAGAAGTGGAGGTCTGGTGTTTAGAGCCTGTGTGGAAAAGCTGGGAGAAATGACAAGGCGGAAGTTGATCGAGGGTCCTTGTGCTACTTCCGGGAGCTTCCGCACTGGCAGCCGGGGTACCTCCTCTCCACATCCTCCACTATCAGCCGCCTGTGTGTCAGTAAGTGAGAGAAGGGGCAGTGGAGTTAGGAGGGGTGCAGAACGGGGTCAACCTTCTTCCTATCCCGGCGACCTCTCTGTGTCCAGGAGATTTTCCATGGGAACCTTGGAAGGTGGAGAAAGGGCTTGCGGCTGCTTCCGAGGGTAAGGACACGCAGAACAGGCTTTGGATAGTGACGGCTCTGGGGTGTGCAGAGCGTCTTACTCCTCTGTGCCGGCACAGAACGCATACGACTCACTTCACTGTGCCATGTTTTCCTTATGTGGAGAGTAAGGGGGGGGGCCTGGTTATGCCCCCATCCTATTCTAGCTCTCAATCTTTAGCTCCTAACAGCACGGAATCACTGTGCCATTTTTTCCTCTTAGCATCGCTCTGGAATGCCTAGAAAATCCTCCTTTGGCCTAGTGCGAGCAGAAGGCAGTTGTCTCTGAGGACGCACTGTACTTGGGCTGAGGTTGGTTCCAGCAAGTCAGTCTGATCCTCCTCTTCCTCCCTTGTCAAAACATGCATGAGTCTAAAGTGTCTGAGACTACTTTAGCTTGGGGTGGAGGGGACATTCTCTCATTCCCCACCCCAGCCTTCCCCTATACCAGAAAATTGTTATTGATGGTTTATTTATTTATTTATTATTTATTTATTTTTAAAGAGTCTAATGTGGTCTGATGAGTCTAGAATTGACATCCCATAAGCCCATGTAGCTGCTGCCACCTGCTCCATCCTGCTTCCTACTTAAATGCGTCTACCCCATGCCAAATTGATTTAGTACTTAGCTTGAAGTCAACTGCACTGTGAATGCTCATGAATGGTCCGGGGAACCCATGCTTTATCTCTGTGCCCTGCCCTGCTACCTGGACCTCCCCTTAACGGACAAAGAATGACGTGGCTATCCACTGTAGAGTTGGGAGTCATGGCCACGGTTCCTTTTAGTTATGTGCTCTGGCCAAGAGCCTGATGCTCCTTTCTGATTTCATCTCTGACTAGGAGCGGTTGCCAAGGGGCACTCAGCCTTCACTAGCCAATAGACAAAGGACTTGGGCCCTTCCTCCACTCAGCAGAGCATGCACACATTATTCCCAGAGACAACTTTTCGCCGGAGGCGAAGATCCCTCCATTTTCCCAGGCTTGAGGTGAACAGTGTCGTTCACCTCTGGTGATGCTTACCTTGTGGAACACACTAGTGCAAGTACTTCTGGTGCTAAACACTATATAAATCAGTACCAATGGAAGAGCTTTACAGCAGAAGTGAGGATGAGTGAGCCCTGCCGGAAGAGCACTCAGACAGTGGAAAGACCACTGAGAACCCTGCCTTCGTGCTTGGCTAACCCATGTGATTGTGGCTAAGTCAACATTTAATTATCACTCTCCTCCCCTCCCCCTCCCCGAGATATACAGAGTTAGAACAGATGGGCCCTTAGAATCTACTTCAGTTTGAAAGGCTCTTTTGAGTCCCATCTACTCCTTATTCTCTAAGGTTGTTTGCTAGGAATGAGAGATGAAATGAAAGGCGAGGAGGGAAAGGCAGAAAAGTTGCTCTTGACAAAACTGACCATAAGGGAAAGTAGAGAATATTTTGTGCCTGGTATGTTTGAAGGACACTGGTGCAGGATCTAGGCACACCAGTCAGGAAGTTGAAGTTTGTCTTCTTCAGGAGAAGCTGTGCTTCTCTTCCAGCCTTCTTCCTGACTTCATGTGTCCATATTTCAAGTCGGAAATAGGGAGACAGTCCCATCCACCTCCCGTAAAAAGAAAGTAGTAATCTGGAATCTGGGTCAGAAACCAAGAGATTTTTTTTTTTTTGCACGTACATACTTTCTTCCCATTCTTTTATATCAAGAATAAGGCTGGTGGGATACTTGTTTCCAAAAGCAGCAGTAAAATCTTTATACTTACCTGAGAGTTTTTGCAATCTCTGAAAGGGGAGCATAGAAATATTTGTGGATGATGAGCCAGTGAAATCAGATTCCAGCAGTCCCAGGAGCCACCCTCGAGCATCTCCACAGTGTCTAGTGTGCATCTCCACAGTGTCTAGTGTCTGCTATGGTTGGGCACCAACCTGCTAAAGTGCATAAGGAGTTTACCTCAAAAAAAAAAAAGTCACCGTGAGCTAAGACCTTGTGAGCTGTATGATTTTATTTCTTTAAGATTCCCATTATTTGGTACCAAGTAATGTTTCAACTAGTACTTACCAGGGCTGGAAGGGGAATCAGTGTGGACTTCAGAACCTGTTTGGGCATTGTTCGAATATCACCAAGAAAACATTCCTTTTCAGCTTTAGTCACATGCATGTCATGCACCCTAACGACCCATTTGATGGTGATAGAGTCAGAGAAGTCTCCCTGGAATCAGCAAACCACTTGCAGGTTGGGATTCTCTTTGGCACTGTGTGTTTCTTTTGGAAGGGACCTGCAGAGATACTCAGAAAGGTCCCAAAGTGAAGTTGGTCATCCCCAAGTTTGCTCATCTTCTGCTCCCCACACTAAATTGTGTTAACAGTAACATCTGAGCATCTCAAATATCAGCCCTCCTGGTTTTCTGATAGTTCACCATGCCTTTCCACTTATGTGTTGTTTGGGATTTAGTACTGGAGATGCCAGCAAGGCAGATAAAGCCTCTCCCAGGAGGGTCAGACAAGAGACGACCTGAGAGGATGGAGTCTGTCATGCTCTCTGATAGGCACGGGTAATGGTGGTGGAGGTAGTGACTCTTTGCGTCAGTGCACAGGGACTTGCATCTTGGCTTTTGAACAGGACTTCTGTTTGTCTGATGCATTCTCTCCAAACACTGTGTGTGCGTGCATGCACGTGCGCAGTCCATGCAACAAGTTTCTGATGTGCCAACTGAGGCTCCTTTCTGTGAGATCTGCAGAGGTATGGGCTCCACTTGAGAGAACTTGGAATTCCTCTTTCCTTTCCTTTCCTTTCCTTTCCTTTCCTTTCCTTTCCTTTCCTTTCCTTTCCTTTCCTTTCCTTTCCTTTCCTTTCCTTTCCTTTCCTTCTTGTTAGCAATATTAAATTGCATAAAACCATGGGTTTCCTTATGACACTTTCAATATGTGAGTACCGGATTCCTCTCCATAGGCAGAGAATTCAGATTGCCCTTCCTGTGGGCAGCTAGGTTCCAACTTTTAAACCAGGACCGATTTGACATTTGCCATAAGAATTATGTCTTAAACCAGCAAGCAAAGTTCCCTCTTTAGTAAGAACATAAATTCTATTAATGATTTTTCCCCTAAATCATCCAGGTATTTATTGGATCTCCAAGCACAGAGTTCTCAAGAGAAATTTAAAGTCCTCAAAGTAGATGTTTCTTATAGAAGGTGAATTGTGATAACACAGAAGACAAGGAGCCTACGGAACTCCTACTTCTGAGGAGCTCCCAGGCATTTAGGTACGGCTTTCGTTTAGTATCTCTGAGAGGATTCAGTTTCTTCTCATTTTAGGCAGTCAAGGATTCAGACCTCTTTCCTGCAATAGGAAAGGTAGTGTGGGCACACAGCTCCGCACTGTGTAGTCTAGCATTCCTTTGGATCCCCTCAAAGGAGTGAGAAATCACACACTCAAATCCAAATCTGGTATCTATCATTTCATTTAAGAAGCATTTATGGGAGTGTTCCTTTAAAAAGAAACTAAGTTTTTATACTATCTGGAGTAGTAGGACCTATTCAGTTTCTCCCATTGGAGATTAGCCCATGTTCTGTCTCTATTTCAAAGCTGCCTGACGCTTACCTGGTACCCTTGAAGCTACTTCTGGACAGGAAGAAAAAGCCTGATCCAGGTAGCTTGATTTCTGCAACCCACAGTAGAGGAGTACGTTTCAGTCAAGATTTTCTTCTTTCTGCTTTTTCATTTCCCCCTTTTTTTCTTGGTTCACATTCTCTGGTTTCTGTGGGATGGAGGATCTGGCATCTGAAACTCTGTGAAAGTCTTAATAAGAGGTGAATCCCAGGACCACAAACAGTTTGGACTTCAAACAGTGAGAAAATTGGCGCTGAATGATTCGGCACACAAAGCAGAAAACTTTCATTTCCTGCAGGCAGGATGGAATTGACTGTTATATTAAGACTTCTGAAGGAGCCCTGCCCTGGAGTAATTTCAGTGCTGTCAGACAATGTTGACATCTAGATTAACCTCTGTTCAGTGGATTTGACCGTGCAGCTCATTGAGATGCATGTGGCGTGTCCCTGTAAATCCCATCTGAAACCCTCGGTGGCCCACCCACAGCCACCCCCTTTCCTGTCTCCGCCTACTGATCTCACAGTCCATGAACTTTTAGCTTATGGGAGCAAAGGCACTGATGCTGGGGTCTGACCCTCAGAGAGGGAGTTTTGACCTTTCTGAGTCCTGTTTGCTGCTTGGTCAGAGTGACAGTGCTTGTCACTGTATTGGCTTTTCCCCAGAGGAGACTGCAAATCAAGGCATGAAAGCCGCTCCACCGATGATGAACAGTTTTATGGCCAATCTCAAAGTAAAATGGTCTGCAGAGGAGTCAAGGGCCCAGAGTTGGTCCCTAAGTGTGCCTCCAGTCTTTCAGCTTTTAAGAAAACAGCAGACGCAAACAAGGTCATGACTGCAGATGAGGTGGGTGGGATCTGATGGCTGGAAGGGCTTGTCCTCTATACAGGTGCTTCCTCTGGACCTTTTAATAAAGGCAGTGCAGGCTTCTACTCACTCGGCTGGGATAGTGCTTTCTAGGACATGGTATGATGCCATACTGAGATCCCATAGTCAGATGAAACCTTTCGTGGAAGATGGCCCACACCAAAAGCACATACATGCATCTCATGCATCAAAAATTCTGAAAAGGGACCTTCAGCTTGGCCCCAGCTACCTCCAGATTCTGCAAAGCTACTCAACATAATCCCAGGCATTTCTGAAAACACGGATCAGGATTTGTGAATTGACCCTGCCCAAATCTGAAGAACAAATTTCTCTGCCGAGTTGTTGAATCTGACTCTCCTTCAAATTATTTTTCCTTCTTTGCTTCTTTAGTAGCAGGAGTCTCTTTGTATATTCTCAGATATTTCTTTAGGAGAATTGAAAGTTCTGAGTCAAGGACATTGTGTTTATTGACTAAGAAAATAGATTTCTGGGCTGAGTGATGCAACAGCTACACAGAGGGAATCTTGATGACTTTATTTAAAAGCAATGATCAGAGTTGTGGCTTTTTCCTGCCTTCTCAAACCGATAGAGAACAAATCATATTCATCTTTATGTTATTTATGACGTTTATTCACTTCCACATATGAGCAAGTGCATGCTTGCAAATGCCTGCATAGTTCTATTGCATAGAGACCCCATTTGTGTTGCTCTCATTGATCTCAGCATGTGTGCACAAATGAACGCAGCACACGGGTGCTTTTCTTTACTGTAGCTCATCATTGTTTATATTAGCATACAATGATTTTCCATACGATGAGGTTGTTTTATTTTTTATTTTACAAACTTGAGGCTCCTTTGATGGCAAAAGAAAACACCCAAGTTCTGAAATTTTTCATATATAAAGGTAGGCCTCCTCCCTGTCATTTTTTTCAAGATTAAAAAAAAATCAACCAGACTGAGCCTTGATTCTGATTTTCTGTAATTAATTTTCTGGGGAAAGGGGTATCAGATTCATCATAAATATTATGTGTAAAGGTTAAGCAATTACTGGCTCAGTCACTGGATATAAAACTCATGTGTTCTAATTGAACCAGGTGGCATGAAGTCCTTGGGACACGGAAGAGAGCTGAGTTAGAAGCTGGATGGTAGGGTGCTTGGCTTGGCGGCTGAGTGAATATCAGCTCTTGACGAGCAGTAGGCAACCAAGCTGCAGGTTGTGTTCTCTCTCAATCAGCAGTGATGGGGAAAGCTCCTCTGTTCTAAGCTGTTGCTCAGATTAGTTCCTGGTGTAGTATGTCATAGCAGGTATTCCCCGGGAGCATGTTTGCAGACATCCCACTCCAAAGGGCCAGAGGCGTTTGCTCCATATATATGCTCAGTTTCTCATTCCCACTTTCTCTGAATTCCAAATCTTATCTGTTCCCAGTTCCCTACCTCACTGACCTCTTCCAGACTTTAGGAGCTCTAGGCATCTGAGGAAATTCTAGGCGTCTCATCTTCTTAGCCTGAACATGTTGTGATTTAGTCTGGGTTTCTGCGGAAGGAAGCAAACTGCTCTCCCAGCCATCCATCCATCAGCCTCTTTCCAGCTCCGTGGACCAAATGATTAGTGCTCATTAGCGCTTTATCAGTTGCCTTTGCGCGGAGACTCCAGTACAACGGGCCTATTACAAGGCCCCCGTCTGTCTTTTTGCAGTCATCTCCTCCTTCTGGGTTGGTTAGGAAAGGCAAGCCTTCCTACAAACATGTTCTCCTTCACATTTCTGTCTTGTTTCCTGGCTGCTAAACATCCTGGTAAATGGCAACGTACAGTTTTCCTTTTTTTTTTCTTTCTCTAGTCTACTGTGAGTGGGAGGCCATGCCTATTCATGGACCAGAGCTCTGTGTGTCAGCCAACGTTTATCCATCCTTGGAACATTTAAAAGGGCGACTCTCAGATTTGGTGTGGTGGCTCTAAACAGGGTTGTACCTTAAGAAACAAACTGGATTGACAAACCGTGTGATGGTGATCGAGAGGTCAGCTGAGGGTCTGAGAGGCCAGTCCTTCTATTCCAAAGCCATTTGACATCAGCAGAAGCTATGACTGTACCAGCAACTGTTCTTACAGTCACAAACATCCTCATTCACTAGTCACAATAAAGCCACTGTGTCTGACACAACCACTTATTTATTTAATTATTTTCATTAGCTGGAGAGATTCTAAGAGCACTGGCTACAGTTCCGGATGAGCTGGAGTCGAGTCCCAGCACCCGCATGGGCACTCACCACCATCTGTAAATCCGGTTCCAGGGGATCTGACGCCCTCTTCTGGCCTCCACAGGCATCAGGCATACACGTAGGCAAAACACTCACACACTTTAAGAACCATCATTTTCCTCTCATAACTCTAGGCAGTTTAAGCATGCTTTTTCTTGGTTTCTACTAATATCTTCGTTGTGATTCCCAGGTTTTTAATTGTTTTATCTGCATTTCCTTAGGAAAGAGTTGGTCTCTTTTGAGTTATCTCTATGAAGAAATGTCAAGACAGATGGAAAGGGGGGGGAGAGCAATGGAACTGAAAGGTAGAGGTCATAAGACTCCTTCTTTCTTTCTGATCAGCCTCTTCCTCTGTAAAAGTTCTGCTAACAGCCCCTGCCATTCACCGAGGATTGCCATGAGCAATAGTCAGTCCTCAGTGAAGGCCCCATGGCTGGGAAAGCCCACTCTTTGGACAGCAGGTGCTCTCATGGTGTTGAAACATTTGACTTGTACTGTGTTTGAGGTGCACCTTCCTTGTTCCCTCCTGAGGTTGGTTTCTAGAGAGTTAGTTATTAACCTTTTTCCCACTTTGAATCGCCAGCGCATACACAGTAATGGAAAATACCTCGTAATTCTACCAGAAGAAAGGGATTTTTTTTTTTTTACCCACTTAGCAGGGGTGAGTTGTAGATTTCATTTTCTGGCATGGAACCCTGGACATCTTGAAGCCAAAATAGCATCTCCTCTGCTTTAACTCCTTACCAACTCCTTGCTGATTTGAAGAGGTGATGTGGATTCAGGATAATGCCTAAGAAAGTAAGGTTGCTTGATTTAAACTGGATACTAAAACTGATCTTGCAGGGAGATTGAAAGTGATAATGATTTTGAACCTTGCTAGGGACCGTGGTCCCCACAAGGGAAAGGTGGGGATAATCAGAAGATGGAGGAAGCGATCCCAGTGAAGACCAAATTCCAGGCCTCATTTTCAATGTCCCAGAGCACAATAGAGATGTTCCAGAGGGACTCCTGCTGAGCGACGTGTCTGGCTGAAAATGAAACCCTAGACAACAAATCATGGGGCCAGATTGCCAAGGTTACAGCAGTGAAGTCATTTACAGTCTCTAAAAAAACTGCCCCAGGTGTCTGTGATGCCAAGTGCTATTTTAAGTCCCTTGCCACAAAGACTACTTGGAAAGTGAAATCTTTCAAATGTTATTTCCCTTCAATTTTCAAGTAGCCATCAGGTGTGATATGTCTGACAAAATGTTGTCTGTGTGTTGTGAAAGGATGCTGACCACTCATGAGAAAAAAGCAGAATGAAGCCGAGTACCAAGCATCCTGAGAAACTCATAGTGTTTCACGGAAGCTCGGATGCTCACAGCTTCTCTTTTCTTTTGACCTTGGGCTCGTTGTTTGCTTTTCTGGATGCAGGAAAGCAGCACTTTTCCCCTAGACTTCTGTCTGAGTGATCTGAGTGATTTTTTTTCCCGCCATTGTCTGTCCGGAAGAAAGCATTCCAACTTTCTTTGAAATGAGAATCCAAATTGGGATATACTTGTAAATTGTGGTGTGAAATTGAAGGAGGCCAAGTGATTTGTAGTGGTATTTCTTAATTCTCTCAGATAATCTTGAGGACACGGGCTCTTCTGAGCTTTGCTTGAGCCTGCTTGGAACAAGTAGTTTCACAGTGTTGACTTCCTCTAGACACAACTGATAAATTAAAGATCTCAGAGGTATCGTGTGAGAAGTGAATTGATGAACATGGAAAGTTTGAGCTATCTACTAACAGGAACAGGAACTTACTTTAATGATTGTTTTCATTCCCTTCTCCTGAAAGTTTAGTCTTTTGGGGGGCCATTGGGATATTTCTTTTCCAAGGCTAGCGAAGATTGATTATAGTTCATGCCTAAAAGCAAAGGCTCTCTTGAGCCCGTTGGGGTTGGAGGTAACCCCAAATGGCCCATGTTATTTTCTATACCAGCACCACAGCAACAGGAGTCTTCTTGATTATGCGTTTGGACCCTGGTGGTTTGGCACAAGAGATTTGTCAAATTAAAAAGAAAAGAAAGCGAGTTTGGGCAAGAAAATTCTGACTAAATATGAAAGACCAAAAAAAAAAAAAAAAAAGTCAGTGTTGTTCTGCCAACAGACATTCCTGTACTATTTATTCAGTTAAAAAATACATTCTCTTTTCAAGATGAGTTTTGCATTTTGAAGTGTGTGTGTGTGTGTATTACAGAGGTGGGAAACAGGTAGGAAGCTGTTGTTTACACATTTAGATGTTCTCTCAAGCACAGTAAAAGCTCTGTTCAGTTTCTTGAAACAAGACAGTACAATTAGGGTTAGAGAGGAAATAAGGGCCCATGTGTCTGAACAATGTGAAATAGCCTCTAAATATTCCTTTCTGAAACCTTTGGTCATAGCAAATCAAGCCAACCCCATATTTGTTACGATATTAAGGTGAAGCAAGCAACGCCTCTCAGTGCTCTGCCTGTCTGTGCTCCTCCTTCTGAAGGCATGGAATCCCTTATTCATGCCTGGAATTTGGCCAACAGGACTAAAACAATGAAACAATTTAGAGCAAGCCAGCCCGTGTAGATTTTTGGCAAGGCGTTAATTCTTTTTTCACGGGTATTGAATTTGTTTCAGAGCTATATTTTGCTTCAAATGATATTTAAAGAAGAGATTTTTGGAATAACATTTGAGACCTTTCACCTAATATCAGTGGCTGTGAAAGGACAGTTTAGTTTCACAGATAGTTTTTGACTTTGCCCATCCCAGAAGTGTAAATTCTGCTCTGACCAGGCTATCTGTTTTCAGCACCAGGGACAGCAACCATATCCTTCATCTGAGCTCTACTCTGGTGATTGGATTTCCAGACAGGAAGGGACAGATTTTTTTTCCATCACACCCTACCCATTGAACTTGGAAGATTTTAGTCTTAAGTTTATATATATATATATATATCAATCGAGGCATTACTTCTCTAGTTGGAGGTGTGAACCTGGGAGAGAGGAACCAAGAAATGAGACGGACTAAAGTCTCATGCAATAGCCAACTTTATTCAGAGCATCAGACAGTTTATATTCTGAGGGTTATGTCAGCCATAAATAAAGTTCACATGGGTTTAGACTGTATTCAGCCACAAGGACAAATGGTGCTTGGAAACGTCTCTGAATAACAAAAATGAGAAGTGATATGCAATCAGTCTGGGTCAAATCTCTTCCTATTTCCTACGCCTAGAAGGGGCACAAAAGCCCATTCCAAGAACAATCCTTGTCGTGGAGAAACACAGAGTTTACAAGATCTTTGCTATGTTTCCTTGGGGCTATCTCCCAAGCTCTCAAAACCCTCCTCAGACAGCATCATTCATGGACCATGTTCTAACATTAACATCCAGGGATAGCTTTTATTTGTCCCTAAACCTGAGATAGCTGTTTCTGTCATGTTTCTGACCTGCTAACAAAGTATCAACTGTCACAGCCAGGTTTCTCAGCACAGAGATGGGAAAGACTGAGATGCCGGTGATGGGAATACTTTGGGGCACGTATCCCTTCCTTATTAGGCACCCCAAACTCCTACAAGGAGTGCCACTCATTGACAACCTCTTTTTAAAAACGTGAGCATAGTGCTTACAATATACAAGGCCGTGGTTGATAGGTGTGCACCCGGAAGCAGTAATTCACAATGGTGGAGCCGAAGTTATGGCCTCTGAGGACAAAGAAGGGTCTAGCAATACTGTCATCAGGCATTTTAGGAACTTGTGGAAAGATGCTGCTTTGAATCTTGGCATCCAGTTTGTGTCCTTGAGGGCTGTTCCACAGCTGTTTTAGTCTTAGACAATCGTGGTAAGGTGGGAAGTAGCTCCTCGTGGCTTTCCCCAAGCCTGTCCAAAGGGGACACTGGTGGCATTGAGAGTAACAGAAGCACATGTTGTCACAATGCGTTGTGATTGTCCAGTTTTCCTATAGCACAAAAAACATGCTTAGGTGTCACCACAGAAGCAGAGTGTCTTCTGCTGTTTACTTGGCATCTTCCTTGGGGCCCCTCCACGATGGTAACTGAATCTCAGCTCCTTCCTCCTCCTTCAAAGGTGTTATACAAAATCCGTTTTAGCTGCCTCAGAATTATCTAAGGCCTGGTCATGCTATCATTCTTTTTAGCCCCCCTCTCTCCTCTCTGTCTCTTATACACACTTCTTATCCTTTTGTTGTTACTGGTAACAATTCATAGCATTTAATGATGAGAGACCATGCAGATTCCTTTTAAGGACAGAGGAATAGTAGAAGCAGGCAAGAGTCAAGCCTCAGAGGAACAAGTTCAAGTGAACTCTGATGATTTTAACCTTGGGTTGGTCTGGGGAGGAACACATCCCTCCTCATTCCTTGCCTTCTTAAACAGGCTCATTCACGCCCGCACTCGTCACATAAAGGGGACCACAGGATGCCTTTCATGAAGACAGAGTGGGCAATTATTAGAATCTGTTTAAACAGGAAAACTTTGTTTTCTATATTAATCAAGGAATGATCATTGTGCAGAAAAGACCAGCTATAGGAAGGCTTCATAAAAGAACATTTTCTATAAAACGACAAAAGAGCTCCAAACTCATCATTCATGGCATCCCTGACTCTCTGGCAGGCAGAAGGGTGGTCTGAGATGAGCTAACGAACAGGCACCTTTGACGCCTCAGGAGGAACAGGCCAGAACTAAACCCCAGCAAAGTTCTTGTGCTTTTTCTGGAAAAAAAATTCTTAAAAATGTCAAGGGCACATCTAGTTCTGCCTCTTCAGAGGCCTGCTCAGTGCTACTTCTGGGTTCTTAAGGCAAGTGCCCTGTAAACACCAAAGTCTTGTATTTTCCACTCTCTGCCAGCCCTGGCTGCCCCGGGTGGAATGTTTTTCCCTTCCTTCCATGAAAGGGACCCTGTTTTCAGGAGAAGTGTCCTTTATAATCATCCAGCTAAAACTGGAGGTAATTTTTTGCATGAATGGCTTTTTACAGCTAGGTCTAAAGCAGAACAAAACTTGTATTAAACTAAGTGCTACTTTACATATCTTATTTCAAGGGAAATGAAGGATTTATTGTCGTGTAAATGATAGACACCGATTTCTTTCCTACTGGACATTACATGTCCCTTTACCTTTAGGCTGACGTTGTGCAGCCAACTTTCAGAATCTGGAAAATCAGCTGGCTCCTCCCACTTCAGCCCACTAGCAGGAGGACATTGTGTTCCCAGCGAGGAATTTTGCAGATGAAGTTGGGGTGCTGATGCAACTGATTTTCATCCCCCATCCCTAGGCTTTCTGTACTAAATATCTGTAAAGTGATTGTATCTTGTCCGACCCCACGTGTTTGTGTGTATTTCCCACTGTTTGTAAGACTATAGTGGCAATCTGAAGGGTTATTTGTCTTTGTGGAAACTGCTGAACAATGGATGTGGCATAGGGGACACATGTGACGTATGTACCCAACAGTTTTGGGGCCAAGCAAATATACTGGCTGAGTTTGGGAAGTGGGTTGAGCAGCATGGCTTGACTTGGGGGATGTTCAGCAATGGGTAGAGTGTTGGCGAGTTATCGTTAATTGCTGAAGACCTTGATGAAGCAAAGTTAAGATGTACTCACCCAGGTCTTAGGTTGTTCATGGAAATCCCCACTGACCAGTCTTCAGCTTTTATTTTTAGCAGAACTATTCTTTCATAATGCTCACTCTCTTATTCCACGGACTCTTGGGAAGTGCTGATCGTTCTTGCTTCCCATGACTGGATTTCCAAGCTGTTAATATAGCAGACTATGGTGTTAAGTGCTAGGATAAAGTCATAGTTCCCCTTCCTTGAGAAGTCATTCCTTCCATTGTTTTCCTTTCTCCCAGATTAATTCCATTGTCTACGCTAACGTTATTTAGATGTGTGTAAGTATTGGAGAATCAATCTCGTTACAATGATGACTGTGTTTGCCATTGGAGAACAGGTTCACAGTCTTGAGTAAAGCTCTGCCAGGAACTTACCTTTTGTAAAACAGAGCAAAATCAAAACGGAACAAAACCAAGAGTAACTTGATAAGATGGCAAGATGGCCCCAGGGTAGAAAGAGGTGTTCTCAGTTGACACGAAGAGTTGTGTTGGAAAGGCAAGTATTCATCCTTCTAGCCCCGCCCTGCCTCCCTTCCTCCTCAACCTCAGAAGAAAACAGAAACTTATTTTTTTAAACTGTATTAATAATTTATGTTTAATACAAAAGGATGATTTAATGGTATCACCAAAGGTCATTTCTCTCATTGTGCATGTCCTTCACTCTCAACCCCATACACTCATCCCATTCTTCACCCCCACTTCCATCCCAAGGCAAGTGTGTGTCTTCATTAGAACCTATGGGTGTTGGAGTTACATGTGGGGTTAGAGATTTAATACCAGACACTAACAAAAACCAACCATTCTTCACTTCCAAGTGACCATTATTACAAGGAAAACTCTTTTCCTGGTTTTTGTGCAAAATCATTTTATACATATATATGTATATATGTGTGTGTATGTATGGACATATGTATGTATATGCACATGTACATGTATATATGTATATATCCATCTCAATATAAATATATCATATGTGAGAGTTGTAAATACTCCTTGGTCATGCGTCTGTCCTTCTCATAGTATCATATCTTCAATGTTATGTTAACGACTCCATTTATTGATTGATGAGATCATGTGTAGACCTGTATCCTCCTGACATAGTTTATGTAGGGTCTCTTCTCAAATAAAGTATAAAACAAAGATGCCCTCGGTTTATTTGGATTTATTGTGTTGAGTTTAAAGGTGAGTTGAAATTCGGGTAGACCTGAATATGAGAAAACATTAGAGCCACAGCATTGTTGTGAAAGCTACCACCTTGTTTGTTGATACAATGTGAACAGTGGGTTGAGGTGAGTTTGTCAAAGCCTCATACATGTGCTTATGAGTTGAGGCAGGGCCCAAGGAAAGGACTGAATCCCAACAGCTCTAAGTCATGATGAGGATCTATTTTTGCTTTCCTGCAAAGCATATTCAACACCTCCTTTGCAGTCACTGAGGTCACAAATGTGAGGTAAACTGTGTTCTATTCACTCTCCTCTACCCCAGAGACTTTACAACTCTTTTACACAATGACTCAGTGGTCTCTCATGACCCATTCTCAGTAACTTCTCTAGAAGGTACCGATGGGTTGTGGGAAAAGGGTGTGAGGGAGAGACACTGAGCTCACAGAATTCCACTGACCAGAGTTCAATGAGATAAAGAAAATTGCAAGGAAATATTCCTCCTCATTGATACTGCTCACATTTGGGGTAGTGATAATTTTGTTTCTGTGGAGGTCTGTCCTGTTCATCATATAATATTGTCACAAATGCATTTTTATCAGAAGCATTAGTAGCCTTCCTTTTCCTTGCTAAGGGTGTGCTGATGGAAAGTGCCTCCAAACATTTCCAAATGTTCCCTGGGGGTGGGGATTGACCCAACTGAGAGTCGATGGCTTAACTGTTACATCTTTACTATTCATTAATTATTTAATAAGCAAGGAATGAAACCAGGGAATAGGTGGGCCCTGTTAATCCCTTCTGGATCATAGTTTGGCTATACCTCTGGGTAAACTTGTTTCTTTCCTTTAAATAAAATCCCCTTCAAAAATCATCACCAAGAATGCAGTTGTGCTCCCATATTTTCACTGTGGCGAGCAATAAAATTGTCTTCCTCATCTCCATGTATCAAATGTACTTAATCCTAGATAAAGTCAAAGAAGTCTAGATCTTCTATGTCTGGGAAGGCCTTGATCGATAGTATTCAATTACTTTCCCATTGCTAGGATTCTCAAGGAAGCAAAGTCAGAGACAGCCCACTAAATGAAAACATTTTCCAATGCCACAGAACTTGCCCGATAAAGCCATTTCATTAAGACAACATAGTCCTAAAGCATCAGTGTCCTGGTAACAACATAGAGATATAATAGTCTAACAAAGATACTTCAGAAATAGCAAGACTCTCCTGGGCCCTGTGAGAATGAGGACAGCAGATAGGCCTGGAAGGGGCAGATGAGCCACACAAGAGCTGATATCCAAACTGAGGTTTGTGAGATAGTTTTAATTAATCAGTTAGTTAATTTTACAATCCTTCTACTGTTTCCTCATTTTCCTCTCCTCCGTGTCCCTCCTCCCATATCCCTTCTGCCTCTGACTTTATCCACTCCTCTGTTTCTACTCAGAGGAGGGCAGGCCTCCCATGAATATCAACCAGATATGACATACCAAGTTGAAGGCTGAACAAGGTAGTCCGGTATGAGGAATAGAGACCCCAAAAGCTGGCAAAAGAGTCAGACAGCCCCTGCTCATGCCTTTATGAGTCCCACAAGAAGACTAATCTATACAACTGTAAAACATATGCAGAAAGCCTAGGTGAGTCCTATGCAGGCTCCCTCATTGTCGGTTCAGTCTCTGTGAGCCCCTGTGGGCCCAAGATAGCTGACTCTATGGATTTTCTCGTGGTACCATTTACTCCTTTGGCTCCTCCCTTACTTCGGGATTCCCTGAGGTCTGCCCAGTGTTTGGTTGTAGTTGTGGCTGAGTGGTTAAGGCGATGGAGTGACTGAGATCTTGAAATGATACAAGTATGAATACTTAGGACAATTCTTTAGTATTTCGCCGAACAGTATTGGCTCTTTACCAAGGGCCCAGTGATGTCCTTTGATCCTGTTGGGATACTCAAGGTTATCTGGCTATTAACCAGGTAGATATCCTATTTTAGCCTCTTCCCCTCCATCACCAATGTTCTGAATTATTCCCATCACCAGCACAGGGCTCAGCAGAGGGTCTAATTACTGCCCTGCTTGCTGCTTGCTGTGGATCTTCAAGAACCATGGGATGATTTTTAAAACAGCTTAGCGGGGAAAAGACAGCACCTCTGTCAAGTTGTATAAGTCTCATTAGGGCAAGTCGGATGTTGCAGCTGTTGAACGGGCATTTGCAGGAGGAGACCATCTTCTGACTTTATACCATGGGAAGATACTGGGATTCGGGAGAAAGCAGTCCTTGGATGAGTCCAGCTCTTTTGTATTACTGCCTTAGCCACGGCCACCTTCTCCTGAAAAGTTTGAAAGCATTCACATCTTCCTTTGCACATTCATGTTCGAACAGTCTCTGTGGGCTACTAAGGTATAATAGATGGATGGTGCAGAAAAAGCAAGATGCCAAGACATAATAAAGGATTGCTCATATTTAAGTTAAATGTCGGTATTTACCAAGCTCTCCGTTAAGTGTTCCGTGTGAGTTAATCCTTCTAACGGGGTCAGATGCTGACAACGTTTTCATTATATAAATGTATTAATCAGGGATTTCAATAACATGTCCAAACGCTCAGCTAAAGCTGAATCAGAGTTTGAAGCCAGCACTTGGGTTTAACACACATGTTCTTAATCAGCACTCCATACCTCCTGTCCAAAACCACAATGGAGAATTCAGCCTGGAAGAAAAACAAAATGATGAAAAGAACTTGCAGTGGGGAATATGTATCTCTTTTAAAATATCCACCTACCCATCCACCCACCCACCCATCCATCCATCCATCCATCCATCCATCCATCCTTCCATCCAATTCATGTAATTGATTTAGAGATGGATGCAGAGGGGTATGCTAGCACTGGAGATCCAAAAGGCTCGAAGAGCCTTCATCTACATCCTGTCTGCCATCTCTGATCCCCACAGTGTTTCCTTCAGTTAACAAAAGACAACATGAGTTGCTAAGAGCAAGATCATCTGATGTGCAGAGAGGGTAAAGGAAAACAAGGGTTTCTGTCCCACAAGGTGAATGACGAGCGAGCAAACAGTGTTTGATAAGGAGGTTCCCCTAGGCTTGTCCTGGCACAGAGCCACCTTCCCACTCACTATGTCCTTGACATGCACACAATAAGTACTAGAATTTTGGAATATACCTTATGAGAATTCGCTGGAAGCCTTGGCTTTCTCTTGAATTTTATTCCAGGAGAGAAGCCAGAACCCTTCTCGTCAGCCTTCATGCACACATTGACCTAGAGAGAAAGGTATGCCTCAATCCAGGCCTGACAGCCTCAAGTCACCGCCACAGGGACACTGCTCATTTCCTACCTCTGTAACACGCAGCAAACCACAGTCTCCTGCAACATAATGGAAAATCCCAGTGGCAGTTATGTGCAATGGGGCTGATCATAAACATGATTGATGAAGTTAGTTCATTTACTGCCTCCGATGCTAGCCCCAGCTGCCAAGAGTTTGACTGACAATTTCTGTTTATTTATTTCTCACTATATAATATCTGACTTCACATTATAAATTCTTCTGATTGGAATTTCATGGCACCTGCTCTGGTATGTATTGATGGCCTGTTCATCGGGGACTCTGCCATTTTGGAGAACGAGCTGGGCTCTGAGCCCTTGACTGTGTCTGTAATGGTGAGAGTCAGGTCCTGACATCCCCATGAGGGGATGTTGCTGTTACCCCTTATGCCCCATGGTGGACATAAATGTTTTATAAATATGGTGACTTATGGTTGACACTTTGCATGAGTTAAGTAGCAAAAATAGCTGAATTTGACCCCCAGAAACTCTACAAAAAAGCCAGGTATAGTGGCACTTTGCATGAATTAAGTAGCAAAAATAGCTGAATTTGACCCCCAGAAACTCTACAAAAAAGCCAGGTATGGTGGCACATACCCATATTCCAGTGTCGAGGAGGCAGAGCCAGGCAAAGCCCTGAAGCTCAGGCCAGAACTCCTAACCTAAAGTACTCCCTATCCCACAGAGACAGCCTATCTCAAAACAGAAGGTGGAAATTTCCAGAATTGCATCACCTGAGATTGTCTCTGCCTTCCTCAGGCCTTTTCCCTTACTGATACACATATGCAAACACCTGGGTACCCTTACACAAGCATGTACATGCATATACACACATGCACACAAGAAACATTGAAAAACAGGAACAAAAAATTGAAATAAATTGTCATTCAAGCATTGGAAACTGATCTGGAAATGTTACAGGCTGACATGGCAGCTCCAACTGGATCATGACAGCCAGGTCTCCACCATTCTTCCTTCTTTTTCAGTCTTTACCCAATCTCTAGTCTTCTTCCCTTAAGGTAGCTTTTGCAGGGAGAAGAGAGTTTACTCAAGTCTTCTTCAGGTGAGACCACTGCTATGTTTAACTTTCCCTCATTCAACCACAAACAGAGGAGTAAGCGTGAGAAAGCAACTCTGGAATGTCCCAGAGTCTTTTTCACATTAAGTCATGAGAGGTCAAGGGTCGGCGAACAGAGTCTGGGAAAGGCGGCGTGGTGTTTTTCCTTATCTTATAAATGTAATCCTCCACTTAGACATGTCTACTCAGAAAAAAATATTCTGGAAGAAATGGCAATGTTTTTCATGGCTCAGTGTCTCTCCCATCATTTCTCATTTTCTTCAGAGCCATGAGGCTGCTTCCCATCACACTCTTGTTTCTAGCGCCTTCAGCCACTGCCCAGTCTCTGCCCAGCGGCACTCCTGAGCAGCCATTGTCTGATTGGACCCATGTAGTTCACGTGTGGCAAAGTCAAAGAAGATCCATTTAGGCCCCTCAACGCTGTCCCTAAG